CCCCGCCACCCGTGCCACAACCTGCCCCGTCCTCAGCAGCATGACGGGGGGGGGGGGCGGTCAGTGCGAGTGTCACCGAACATCGGGAATAAAACTCCTTAAGACTGGGTGTATTAACGAGCAGGCATTACTTTATTCGGCCGGGTGCATTCGTTTTGGTTAACAAAGCAGAACATAACGCTGCATCTGATGCAGCGTATCAAAACCGTGCCCTGACGGTCAATCAAAGTGCGATCAGCTTTGGCGATCAGCCAAGCTGTTTTCCCACTGAAAAACCTCAGCCCATATTAGTGTGTTTTTGTCTTACCGGCCTGGCGTTAGGTTTTCGTTGTGTTCTCACCGGTTCCGCTGCTTGGGATTTCCCTGGGATTTCGGTGGCCCAAGCCAGCGGAGTAAGGGCGTTCTCCACCGCCTCCGGAATCCCTTCTTCCGCCTGGGGTTGCTGTAGCGTAAAAACCTGGGCTTCCAGGGCTTTACCTTCTGGAATATGGACTTGTACTCGCCCATTTTCAAAAGCTATTTGTGCATTCCGTTTACTCAGGACATCCCTTCCTAACAACGGCATCGGGCATTCAGGCAACCATCGCCTACCTATTTTACATTTTAACGGCTGGAAAAACGGCCGGTTTTCCCCTTTCCCTGTGGCACCAACTACATTTACGGTATCTTGACTAAAACTCCCTTTAGAAGTAATTTAAAACGGAATACGCGGCTCCAGCGTCTACTAAAAAATCCGTCCTCCCATTCCCCAGCGTCGGGGTAACCGGGGGCTCAGCTGGGGATGACTCCCCCGCTCCTCCTCATGCCTCATCTGGAGCCAGCGGTCGTACGGCCTGCTCAGGGGTAACACCGTCAGCTCTCCTCCCTCGCGGACCCTCTCGTTTCCAACGTCCCTTTTCCCCGCAAACAGCACACTGACCCCTACCCAGAGGTCGGTGCTGGAATCTGTTTCCTCTGTGTGAAATCTGTGCCTTTTTCCAAAAATCCCCCCCCTTCCAAGGATTGTCCCCGAACCCACGGTACAGCAACTGCAGACAACGGTTGCCCGCAGTTAGCAGTAGCAGAGGCGTCCACACACTCCCGACGACACACGCTTCCGCGGATACGCTCACAACACCCGCACACCTTTCCACGGCTGGCACTCCGGGCGCCCCCGCAATAACGTGCAAACAAGCCTTCCCTTTAACCCGTTTTTTTCCCCTTTTAATCCCTGCAACTCAACCCGGCGGGAATTTTCTCCCCCGACTTACGGACTGGTTCCCTTAGCAGTAACGCCTCGTAATCCCAGGGGATCTTGCACTGAACTCAGCGGGTCAGGGGATGGGAGGATCTCCCCGAAAAAAAAGACTTCGGTGGCGCCGGAGTCCTCTCGATCCCGAGAATCCGTCGAGCGTCAGGTGCGATGTCCTGCCTGGGTCGCCAAACCGTCGCCGAACGTCGGGAATAAAACTCCTCAGCACTGGGTGTATTAAAGAGCAGGCGTTGCTTCACTCGGCCGGGTGCACGGGGGGGTCTCTCCGCCTCGCACGCGCACCGTATGTTGCATCAACCGTCCCTTATACGGCTCTTCGAGATACGTATTCATAATAATTTCTTGGAATGACCATACATATTCATTATATTTCTAAGAACTAATTACAATATCTGCATAGTCCTTCACGCGTGCGTTGTGAGTCCTTAGGGGCATCTACAGGTGTCTTAGGTCGTCTCTCGTGCTCTCTCGTGGTCCTTCGTGGTCTCTGCGGGAGGTGAACTTCTCTTGAACCTTTGGGCCCTTCTCCTAATACGGTCACAAATTGGCTCATCACCCCCGTTTGCCACAGTTTTGGTTGTCCTCGTCTGGTTTCTGCTGGCACTTACATATCTCACGACGTGCTCGTTAGCTTTGGCCTTACGCACTCGACCCGCGCTTGATTAATCCAGCCGTTTCTCTTACCACTGTTTACAACACAAGCGCCGCGTCCCGGGTCAGCGGGGCCAGGTCCGGCGTCGGCTCCCCCAGGAAAGGGCAGAGCCCCCGGCGGGACGGCGCCTCCACCCCGGTTCAAGCAAAGGCAATTTATCCCACGGGGGTTTCCTGACCGTCCCCCGCGGCCGCGCTGGAAGGCGGGAGGGGGCAGCGGCTGCTCTGGGTGCTTGGGGCG